TTTTTGACGGTTATGGTTGGCCTATGTTAAACAGTCCTCGAGTTGTCGTTCACTTGTGTGACAAACACTACGCATAAGCGTTGATTCTAGCTGGAAGATGCACTTTGTATGGAGACTAATTTCGACTTCGTTTCCAACTGGCACTTTTAAAGGGGGAGGGGGAGGGGAGGGGTCTGTGGGGACCATAAGCATGTTTGCAGATGCACGTGTGTGTGCTCATGTGTGTGAGAGAGGGGAGCTTTCCTGCTTTCTAGAGTGTCCTGGAACAGTCGATCATGGTGTTATGTATGGTATCATCCAGATAAAGCGACCATATGCTCGGCCGAACCAACCAACCAACCGGATTGGAATAGAAAATTCATGTCAGAAGGAAGAAAAGTGGTCAAGTCTGAACGGTCTGGATTATGAATTTAATGAAAAAGACAACTTACAGGTCGGGCACTCATGCCGAATTCTTTTCCTGCTTTGTGCCTCCTCTCCCCGTCTGATCCGAGTACACATGTGTCAGTTGCACTTACTTGCTGTGACGTAGATTTGTTTTGTGGCAATTGCTGGCGCAGTGTCTGTCCGTTCTGATGTAGATTTGTTTTGCGGCAATTGCTGGCGCAATGTCTGTCCGTTCTGATGTCTCTGACAATCTTGGTGTTTTCACGCGATGCATATTCTCTGGTTCTTCTTTTGACAGTGTGGAAGCGCGAGGTCAGTTGCACCTATCAAGGCTGGTTTCGTTGCAAGAATCGAGAAGGCGTAGAGCTGGTTGCTTGTGAGTCGAGACAAGGTTTGTGCCCGCCAGCAGGACATTGTTGTCATGGCCTGACGGCAGGAAGGTATCTCCCCACTTGATTTCAGATTTCAGATTGTAGAGAGTGTCCAGCCTCTAGCAGGACTTTGTTGAAACGGTTTGACGGCATATGTTGCTTGCTTGAATTGAGGAGACAGATGAGAAAGTGACCTGTAGGGGTTGTTTGTTATTTTGGCAAGTGTAAGGAGGCATACGTGGCGGATTGGTTGCGTGGACTGGAGGCGGCGTAGCCTCCAATTGAGGTGAGGTTCATTCCACTCCACTTCGGTAGCTCAAAAGCCTGGTAGACGGTCTTTTAAGGATTGCGAAGATCGCATTGGTGTGAGTGATTTGTGGCATATGTATGCCTACGTGAGCGTCTGTCTTTTCTTTTGTTTCTATTCAACGGCTTTGACTGTGGCTTTCTTGCGTTGTATCTTGTGCACACCATCTTCCCTACACTATTAAAATCGCTAAGGGGACAAATCTAACATCCGGGCCGTCGTTGGTCCTACCGGCCCACGGCCCAGATCGACCGAATCATGTAACAAATCTGTCATCTGGGCCGTCGGGTCCTGCCGGATCAACGGGCCGGATTGGAGCGCGGTCTTAAGATCTTAAGATCACCCGTCAATCCAGGCTGTTGGCCCGGTACCTTGGGCCCGACGGCCCAGATTGATCAGGCGGGACCCGATCGAGGCCTTTCGCCGGAAACTGGTTTGCTTGCCCGTTGGAGCGGGCCGTTTCTGTGCACGGGCTTCCCAACGGGCAAAGTGGTTCCCGTAGGCTGCCCTTTTGGGCGGCGGCATGGGAAAATCCTACGCAAGGCGGCGCGCACGTTTTGACCCCTACGCTACTCTACGCTCGACTTCGACTTTACTACTTTCTTGCACTACCACGCTCGACTTCGACTTTACTACTCCACTCTACACTGCGACGCTCGACTGCGACTTCA